GCTATGCGTTTTAACTCTTTACCTTATATTTTCCCGTTATGTTAATAATTGACAACTTCCTTCTCAAGTGAATTGCTTACGAATTTTCAACAGTTCTGACTGTAAGAATTCTAAATATTTCAAAAAACTCAAACAAAGTAGTAAGAATTGTCTACTACTCTATTTCATCTATTTCCTCACTTATCGTTATGTTTATTATTGTTTACTATAACCAATTTAACTTGCATGTTTTCCCTGGGTTCAGAATTTGTCATTAAATCTTTTATTGCTGTACTTTTTTTGAAGCTTAGAATATTTCCATTTCATAACTGAATAATTTACTGCTACGAGAAATCATCATGAGATCAGATCTTTCTAATATCATCGATTATGAAATTTATTCCAATCTCATTCTTCTGTCACTTTACAGGATTATGACATAACATAATTGTTATCTTAATCTTGAATAGGGTTTTCATATCCTTTTACGTAAATAATGGGATTCTCAATCAAGAAGATGCTTGCATGTTCAACATCTTTCAATAACTTTATTCTAATCTGCATGTTCATAACAAGAACATAACAGTTTATTGTATTTATTGTAACATACTCGGTAATTATCTACTTCATTACTAATATTTTAGGAAAATTTAGTTGCAGTAAAGTATTCATTATATTTGAATCAAAAAATGTAACCTACATTTTTATTCTATGAATGATTGCATATTCAATGCTACCAATAATGACTAGGTTCTTGCTTAAGTGAAACTTCATTCTTGAAATATCTAAGTTCAATAACTTACAGTCTTTTATATACTTTCTATTTCTAATATCTAATATTCTTATAATATGAAAATACATAATAGTTCTAAAGAAGAGAATAATATTAAAAAAGGCTTACGTTTACCGGAAGTTAGGTCCAGTTCTAAGTATATCTATATTTGTTTACATTGCTTTGTTTAATTTCCTCATTCATTATATTCAACTTCTTAGTTTCATTTAATTATAGTTTATTTTTATAAAATAATAAATTGCAAATTTAAAGAAATTGTCAGATTAATTAATTGTTGTAGGCTTAGATGAAAAAGTTAGTTATTGAAAAATTTTAAGTTATATCAAACTGTTAATCTTCAAAATTAAAAAAATATTTT